TTTTCGAATAATATATGACATAGCAAAACCCTGGGCATCTTTCCCCACTCTCCCCTACCTACCTACAACCGAATGTTTACCCATGAGGTACCATTTACCCTCTACCAGAAACTCATCGCGCACGGTCTTTGCATATAAATGAAACAGCTTTCGTAGGAACAGGGTGGTGTAACACCACCATTTTGTTACCCACACATTTTGTGGGCTGCAATAAGCCAAGTACCTATTCTAAATAGTCAGCAGATGACCTACATGAAAACCGTTTAGGAGAATCGGTACGCTTCAAACCCACCAAAAACACATGAAATTGCTACCAAGACAATAACTAGAAAGCGGCTTGGGACATATTCTCTCATCTAGGGGCCATAGGGGCCGTGTCTCCCTCCCGCTTGCCCTATTTACTTTTACATTTTAGTGCCTACCTAATTCATAACATGACTGCGTAAGTAAGCGAATCTATGCATGTTATGGTAGTCAGCAGAGTAATTGTCAACGTTTGGTACACATATTAGCTACACACAGATATAACGGGGCACAGTGTCTTGTCATTCAATAATTTATTATCGACGTAACAGATTACTGTGCGTCGTCCAGCCAGGCGCCAGCGTGACAATGCATGACTATAAACAGATGGTTCTTAGAAAGCTGAAACTCTGCTTGAGGCTCATGATGAATAAAATTGATATAAGTATAACCAGTAACCTCATAATATAAATCTGAAATAGGAGCCAAAAAGTTATATTTAAGATTATCGAATATTTCGCTCTTGGAGCTTCGTCAGCGATAATTACAGAAAAACATATACCATAATGTTTGGTATATGTTTTTCTGTAATTATCGCTGACGAAGCTCCAAGAGCGAAATATTCGATAATCTTAAATATAACTTTTTGGCTCCTATTTCAGATTTATATTATGAGGTTACTGGTTATTCTTATATCAATTTTATAAACAGATGGGGCATTCCACGATAGATCGTACCACTTTTTTCCAATTTGACACCCTCATCTCTCGGAATTTGACGAGAATTGGTCTCAGGGGTAATCAGGGGCTCTGAATCCACCTGTAACAATTTCAGGCTTATCAGATAAGTATTTTTTTAGTTATGGTGTATAACATTTTTTGGATCCTGCTTTGCAGCGCTAAGTTTGGCGGGCGGTAACTCTAAGACGGATTATTCAAATGCCAAATGTTATATAACATTGAACTTGCAATGAAACAGAGATTAATATGTATTTTTGAAATTTCGAAAAATACGCTATTTTTCATATATGACATATCGAGTTTTCTTTCATTTGTATTTTTTGGAATTGGGACCAAATTTTTTTGAATTTGTATTTCTTTGAAAAAATATTTGGCTCATTGTTAAGAAGTATGCAAAAAAATTATGAAGGTGTTCTTTCTATAAATGTATTTATTTTACGTCACGATAACGGTTTCGAATAGTGATTTCGGGAGGGGAGCTTACAAATGGCGTGGTAAAGCTGCCTAGTGACATCACGGGTTACTGAAATTTCAATTCAAGTCTGAGTCATCTGAAAAAATTGTGAAAAGAGGGTTCATTCAACCCTCTTTCCTATAAGCGCGAGGGTGAAAAATGCTGTTTGGTTCTGACATTGTTTTGGACGCCAATGACCATAGCTGTCCGAGATGAAAGTTACAGGACGCATACATGGTGTCTTCCAGAGGTCTCACAACTTGTATATCTGGGAATTTTTCAAGGTTACATGAGATCAGGTCAGTCACGTGACATCACTGTTATAAATCAATGGGGAACTATAAAAACTGTTATTTTGGCGCCGAGAATGATCTAAAACTATCCCACGTACATGGTATCGTGATTTCATGCACTCCTTGCAAAGTCCAATGCTTTACTTTTGCATTGTTAACCCGCGCGGGGCTGGGGGGGGGGGGTAAATTTTACCCCCCCTCGCGAATTTTTGCGATATCTCAAAAACGGCGGCGCGCAGCGCCGCCAAACTTACAGTACCTTTTCTTACATCAATTTGACACGTTCCCTGAAAATTTGAGCGAAATCCGTCGGAAATTTTTTGATAAATTGACGTTTTAGTGACGTCATGTTCGCCATTTTCGCCTCAAAAACGGCAAAAGTTCAAACGCCGCTAACATCTTCATTTTTAAAGAAATCAAGACGTAACAAAAAAGGTTATACGTAATTTTCCTTTGTCTATCAAATGGCTATCTCGGTTTTTTGAAAATGTTGGATTTTGGCCTAAATTTTTTCAAAAAACTGACTTTTTTGGGAAAATCATTATAAAATCCAAAATTTTGAGTCTATCGAAAAAACCGGAATATATGTCAGAGAAGTGGTCTATGTGCACCTACATACCAAATTTTAGAAGAATCGGTTCAAAAATGTGGGAGTTATTCAAAATTTTATGACGTCACGACACACAAATTTTTTGAAAAATGACTTTTTTGGAAGTTCTAGACCTCGTACGGAAACAGAAATAGCACCATTCGATTCGCCGTGAAAAACTGCATCAGATAGACACCTTTTTAGGCCTTAACAATCAACTTCAAAATTTGACCTCACTTGACCTGACCTTGACCTGACCTCGACCTGAATTTCATCCAGAGGTGGTCCATATCACTTATTGAGTGTGCCTATTGAATTCTATGAGTAAAATGACCCATAAAACATGTGTCGCACATGCCCTTTTCTATATTTTGTTTTTTGGTGACCTGACCTGACCTGACCTGACCTTGACCTTGACCTCTGAATGATATTGTATGCAACGAATATTGTCTTGGTAGCCTAAGAACACGTTTTGGGCGATCAGTCTCAGTCCATGACTCCATTCTTCGGCAACTACGGTGCAAGGCCGATACTGTAGAAACTTGCAATTTGTACCCTTGACCTGACCTTGACCTTGACCTCAAACTTTAAATTAAGTACATGTTTTTAGTAGTTCGTGATGAGAGCTTTCGATTGGCGTTTGAATTTTCCAAATCGGACCATTAGTTCGGGAGATAACAGGGGGGTAAAATTTACCCCCCCCCCCCCCAGCCCCGCGCGTTCGGCTGGAGACCCCAGCCCCGCGCGGGTTAACCTTGCGTGACGTCATTTATGACGTCACTAGGGTCGTACGAGTTTTTCGTCAATAACTCCCGATCAAATGGAGCTAGAGAGTCGGGAAAGCCACCAATGGACTCGGGAAGACCTTCCGAATCGAATGATATGCCATATGATACCCTTTGCCCAGCTTCGTGACTTGAGGGGCTCTGACCTGACCTTGACCCGAGGTCAACTACTTAAGTTGACCTCATCCTAGCAAAAAGTATGCCATTCGATGCACCTGAGCTAGGCGAACACAATGATGCCAAAATCGCGGCTCTGCGGCCATTTTTTGTGAAGTTATTTACTAGAAACCGAACCCGTAACTTCAGTCACGTGACCTGACCTCAGACGCTACCGGTTAACCTGAGACCTTAAAATCGGGTACCAATCGCTGCGACTTGTAACGGCACACACGCTCGTTTTTTCCGCGAGGCTCTAGCTCTATTAGAAGCGAAACGGCGTGCTGGGGTCGTATCAACCCCTCCGAAACCCATTTTGTTTGCGGGAAAATGAGGAACTTATAGAAAGAACACCTTTCTATTTTTTTGCATGTCGATTTGCAATGACATGAAGACTATTTTGAAAAAATAAAAATGTGAAAATTTTGGTCCCAAAAGTCATTAGAGGCAAATAAAAAAAGATTAAGGTTTTTGCTCAATAATGAAATTTTTTCTTTGGAATTTTTTAAATAGTAATATTAATTTTTGATTCATCGCAAGCTTAGTGTTGTTTACTTTTTGTTGGTTGCTTAACCCGTTCTTGAGTTATAGGCCATCAAACTCACCGTTACATACCGAAGTTAAAAAAATGTAATCCAATATAACTCAAAAAGTTTTGATCTGAGAAGTCTGATATTTTGCCAGGCGTCTTTGGGGCCTATGATTACCCCTAGGACCGATTTTCATTAACCCTCGCACGACCAGGCCATTTCTCATAACACGAACGACCAGGGGGGGGGGGGTTGTTACGACCCCCCCCCTGGCGTTTCGAAACGGAAGGTCGTAGAGCTTAGCGGAAAAAACCAACGGATTGCTCTCAACGAGATCTCGCGATTGGTGGTATATTTTTTGGTCCTAGGTCAACATTTGACCTACTTATGACCGGTCAAAGGTCAAATTTTCCGAAAAAATCAAACTTTTTCAACTTTCCGCGGGGATTGCGGCAAAACGGTGGGAGATATCGACTTGAAACCTTCACTATCGTGTTACTTGATCAATTCTCTATCGTTTGGTATGTATTTCGTTTCCCTAGCTCTAAAAATGGCGCGTTGGGAGCGCCGGAAGTCGGTAAGGTCACAGTCGGCGGCAGAAATTCGAAAAATCAAAATTTAAATTTTTGAAATCTGATTGTATTTTTGGATTTGGGAGGTCCATTTGCTCCCTATAGAAGCTAATATTGCTGCATATTCCCATTGAGGTGACAAGAATTAGCAAAATAGTGGTTCGGGCGCTTTTCAAAAATAGTACCGGACGCTGTTCCTCTTGTGACGTCATAGCTCCGTGACCTGACCTGACCCGGTCAATTTTCTTGCACCACACGATAGCCAATGCTTGCTCCAACATGCATGGGAAGTTTCATCATGATCCATCAAACAATGTGGGTATCACCGGCAGAAAACCTAGGGATTCGGCGCACACGTTTGGTAACTGTCGGCCGGAGGCTGTACCTCTTATGACGTCATAACTCCGTGACCTGACATGACCCGATCAATTTTTTTCGGCAAAAGATGCGCAAAGGTTGCCCCAGAGGGTATTGAAAATTTCAGCCCGCTACGACAAGCCGTTTAGCGTGCACTTCGAAAAAACCTCAGGGGGGGGGTGATACAACCCCCCCCCCCCTAGGCGTTCTAGGGTTAAAATCTGAGAGATGAGGGTGACGGGCCTGGTACGATCTATCGTGGAATGCCCCAGATAGCACAAAGGTTGCGAAATAGCACCGCACGCTCATCTAGCCCATGAGCGAAATCCGACTAGCACATCAATACATCATAAATACGAGCTAGCGCAATTCTGCAGCCTTAGCGTCAGCTAATCGATGAAAACCTTAGACCTACCTATACGAAAAGCCGAACTACAAAAAAATGTCCTCATTTACAGCGTGTTCACTGGCTCCGCCAAGGCTCAGGCAGTGCACCGTTTCGACAGTTCATTCAGCCCCGCAGCTGAAATTAACAAACCAACTGCGTTTACATAAGGCCGCCGCCACTGCCACCCGCGCTGAGGCTTTGACGCCTCGCAGGTCGCCGCTAGATGTCACTAGTGCAGTGGGTAGTCGGGCGGGCGGAGTCGGAAGGTGCCGAGACCGCCGCGGGGAGCCGTCAGACCGCCGAAGCCGGCGGCAGCGGCCGCGGCGGCCGCCGCCTGGCCAGCCGAGTAGGCCAGAGAGGCTGAAACGGGAGCAGGTGGTAAGATGGGGACCGAAGGAAAGGGTCATGTTTAGCGTCAAACGAGGTCTCTTTTCTCAAAGCGAGAAATCATGTTGGATTTACATGATACATTCTTCCGGTTTTCTTGAGCTGGAAGCGGTTTTGAAAGTGGCAAAGATGTCTTTTCGACCACCGTCTAATTCTCGGCGCCTCGAGTGACTCCCCTCCCCTCCCCCTCCCTCCGATCTCCTGATCTCTGGCACTCACCGGCAGCCGACGACCCGGCCGGCGCCGGAACCATAGCGCACGCCGCGCTGCTATTGGTCGAGCCGATGAGCGACGGACCAATCATGGTGTAGTGGGCGGGCCCCGCCGGTTTCCACGTTGAGTAGATGGGATAGTCGGAGCTCACGGGGCTGACAGGTACGGATGCTGCACAGAGCGATCCTGAAAGGCCGGCGTCGGGTGTCACCAGCTGGCCTGAACGAGCCGGAAAAAAACTCGCCTACGGCAGGCAGGCACCTCTCGATGTGCCATCCTCCTGTGGCCTCTCCTGTGCCCTCTCCAGCAATCTCCTCCCATGACCTGTCCCATTGATCTTTCCTTCTGACCTCTCCTTGTGACCTCCTTGAACTCTCCCTTCCAGTGACCACATCAATGACCTCCCCTGTGACCTCTCCCTTCAAGTCAACTCCCCTGTTACAGCTCTTCTTTTGGCCCTTTCCTCCTATTGGCAACTCTCTGTTATCTATCCATGTGAGCTGTGACCTCTCCATGTGAACTTTGACCTCTTTCTGTGAACTGTGACCTCTCCCTATGACCGGTGACCGTGACCTCTGACCGGTCGCTGCACCCCTCTGAGACTGACCTGTGGGTCGCGGCGCCAGCGGCTGTTCTACCCCCGTGACCGGCTCCGCCCCGGCCGAGGTCAGACCCAACGCCGGAGTTCTCTGCGCCAGCAAACTACGCTCGTTACGCCGAAACTTGGCGCGCCGGTTCTGGAACCATACCTGAGGAGGGGGCAGAGACCAGTGATGATTTGAGAACCAAATCTGGGAATGTGGCAGGGATCAGTGATCTTGTTTTCTCTGTGATTATGTCATGCTGATGAAGATTTAATAATCGAAACGCGTCCATGCACTATTTGTTCCGTGTTTTTCTGACCTGTGTGTAGGTCATACCCACGTTACCCATCCATGTTTACTCTGCTCTATATAACAACCGTTTTTCCAATGCGCATCTTCACCTCCCCTCCACGGCGCTCGGCGCTCTGATCCTTTCCGCGATAATTAGTTGGGACGGCTGGGACGGCGCGGCGGTCGGGCCCGGCTCGGGTTACCTGCCAATCACGGGAGGAATGCGTCTCGCCGCCAGCCCTCGGTCCTAGTCCCGACCTCCGGGGAGGAGGCAGCGCGAAATCCGCACTGGTGGTCCCCGGGGTGCTTTTATTGGGCCGCCAGGGACTGTAGCTTGGGGTAGTGGGAGGGACACGACAAAAAGGACCTGAAATGTTTGTCTTTTTTCGACAGGAAGCTCTTTTTGAAATTACTTTACCGGATTCCTGCTAGAAATGTTGATCAGATACCAAATAATGGTGTAGAAATACTGAGTAAATGCCGATTTCTTGCTTGATATTTGAATCTTATTATTAGATTGTCTCTCATCCATGTAGGTATAATGAAAAAGAATACCTGGTATACTCTGATTGGGCAAAAAAGTATTTTCTCTTTCAACTTCCTCATGCATCGCGGTCATATTCAGAGTCGGAGCCGGAGTCAGAGTCGAAGCTGAAGTCAAATCCGACTATAGGAGCCCGATGTCGCAGTCAGAGTCGGAACTCTACCACAACTCCTCTAAAACCCTGGACTAGTCAGTTCACAAACCAAGCCCAGCTCCGGAGCGAACTGCGCGACTGTTGATGACAGACAGACAGACAGACACGAGTGACGGGCGTGTGACTATTAGTGACAGACGGACAGACGTGCAGTGACGGGTGTGTGACTATCAGTGACAGACGGACAGACGTGCAGTGCATCTGGCGCGATCTGTGAACGGCTCCAGCTGGGCCCGTCTGTGGACCGAACAGTATCGGTCTCACTTCGGCACCGCCTTACCGGCGCCGACCGGGCCCAGCACCCCCTGACGGCTGGAGGAGAGGGCCTAAGAGCGACTCACAGACCCTTCCGGTACCTAGCCTTAGAGGAGTGGCCTCAGCTCAGCCCTGACGGTGGACTGAGAGGAGTGCGGCTCGTTGCTCCCCCCCCCCCCGGACCGGAAATAGGCGACTCCTCGAGCGGCGCCGCTGCTGCCTCAGATCAGTGTGATGACGAGTGACGCCGGCCGTCACGGCTGTGACACCGGCCGTCACGGCTGTGACGCGTGACGGTAGCGGGCGCGTTACGATCGTCTGGCGCTCCGTCCGTGTCACGCCATCGGATGAGAGCTGCCATACTCGCATAATTCCAGCTGGTGCTCAAGGAAATTAGCGTGAACAATTCTCGGCACTTTTTGCATTTATCGATGTGATAATTATAATTGTTTTATCTGCCTTTTTAACGTTGATAAAAGAAGAAAAATGATTAGAAGCCAAACAAGATAAAAATAAATTATTCACATCAATGAACTAAAAACGGGTCGTGCTCAGTTTGACCCGCTTCTCACGCACTAATGGAAAGACCTGACTTCTAACTTCCAAGCCCTAACGCGGACCACGGCCCACCTACCTGAGCCCGTGCCTCACTGAGGCGGACTCCGGGCGCCAGGTCCTCACTGAGGCTGACTGCTCACCTGAACTCGTGCCTCACTGAGGCTGACTGCTCACCTGAACCCGTGCCTCGTTGAGGCTGACTGCTCACCTGAACCCGTGCCTCACTGAGGCTGACTGCTCACCTGAACGCGTGCCTCACTGAGGCTGACTGCTCACCTGAACCCGTGCCTCACTGAGGCTGACTGCTCACCTGAACTCGTGCCTCGCTGAGGCTGACGCGGCGCGCCAGATCCTCGCGGACAAACGCGTCTGGATAGTGGGTGCGCTCGAAGACCCGCTCCAGCGCCGACAGCTGCGCGGAGGTGAACGTGGTGCGGTTACGGCGCGGCTTTCGTTTCCGAGCGGCCTCGCCGGGTCCACCGGCCTCCTTCAGGGTCGAGTCGCCGTCCTTCGAGAGCTCCTCGTCTGCGGAGAAAGGCAGGGGGTCATCAGACGGTTAGCTTTACCGTAGGGAGGTGACGCCTTGTCTCCAACGGATGGTTCTGAGTAATTACGAGACAACACACACGCCATCACTGTGACGTTAGGCCGCAGAATTTAGGTATCATGGGGCTAAGCATCTCACCGGATGATGAATAGGTACTCCGTCCTTGAATCTAATACAATCGATTGAAGTATGTTAGAGCGGATACACACAACGAATATATTACTCATTATACGGATTAACATCGCTATTCAACTAGTTAGCGTTAGGCTATGATAAGTCATTCCAAAGAAACGCTCATCAATCATGTGACAATTCAGGTTGATGATTGATCTAAACTATGAGCAAAACTATTAATGTTTAATTTTGTAATTTCATTAACAGTTTTCTTTTAAAATCGGGACGAACACCGCTTTGATTGGATAACAATCTGATCAATTAGTTGTCGGCGCTGACAGTCACCAATCGATTGGGGGCGCACCAGAGCCGATCACTGATCCAATTACGTCACTCTGCAGTCTGTCGGCCACATCAAAGACGGTGGCACGTGCCAGCCACCGCCACCGTCGGCCGCGGCGGGCGGGGGAGGAGTCGGGCGGAGTCGGGCGCGACGGGGACGGGGCGGGGCGGGGACGGGCGGGTACGGGCGGGACGGCTCGGCGGGCTCCTGTTCCGTCACATGTTGGCTGTACTGCCCTCTGAGTCTGCGAGTTACGTCTTCAGAACACAGCTACAAATTACAATTCGTGTGTAAGCGACGTGGCGCTGTCTGAAAAGTCTGTTGTTATTTAATCCCCGACTACATTTTAGATCGGATGGTGCCGACAATACTGGCGTGGCCTGGTTATGCCAGCCAGCCTCCCTCGCTGTTTTCAGTGTATCACACTGTCACTCCCGACAGCCCCGAGGTTGTACTTTCGTACTCCGACGCGATGGGACAGCCTTAGCGCCAACAGCAATAGCAAGTGTAGCCCCGTCAGCGGCGGCTCAATTTGTCAGCGTCACACAACAGCGTGACGTAAAGTGATGATGTCGCTGGACAGTGACGGAGCGAGCGTCTCTCCGTTGGAACCGCGTCAGCCACCAGCGGCGAAAGAGCACTCTCTGAGGGTGCACTCTCTCAGCCTGGCAGAGGGATCACGAAGGGAATAACGTCAACGCTTTTTATACTGTTTATACTTACCTTGGTTCATTTGTTATAAAACGATTACAATTTCATGAGGCATTACGAATTGGCAGCCGACGTGCAGCGCCGATATAGCCCTGAAGTTAGCAGCATTCTGAGAAGATTGATCAATCAGGCTCGAGATGAAAGAACGAAGTTTAGGAGCGGCATTCTGCACGACCAGTAAGCCGGGGTTCAGTGGCAGTTCTGATCTGATCAGAGCTCACTACCCGCGTTTGTGTGCTTTCACGTCGTTTGATCTGGTTCAAACTCGGCTAAGCACCTATCAGCCGGGCTGTTGACTGACGGTTGAACGGTGGGTGAAGTTGCAAAGCAGGCCGCCCATCAGAGCACAGTACGACCACTAAACACCACATTACAGGACGGGTTGCGGCCGCCGGCGGAGCGGGCAAACGGCTCGGTAAACACCGTCCCTGTCCCAATCCTCCTGTCCAGGGCTGTCCCGTCCCGTCCCAGCCCTCCTGTCCCAGTCCCGTCCTGTCCCAGTCCCGTCCTGTCCCAGTCCCGTCCTGTCTCCGTCCCGTCCTGTCCCGTCCTGTCCCGTCCTGTCCCAGTCCCAGTCCCGTCCTGTCCCAGTCCCGTCCTGTCCCAGTCCCGTCCTGTCCCAGTCCCGTCCTGTCCCAGTCCCGTCCTGTCCCAGTCCCGTCCTGTCCCAGTCCCGTCCTGTCCCAGTCCCGTCCTGTCCCAGTCCCGTCCTGTCCCAGTCCCGTCCTGTCCCGTCCTGTCCCGTCCTGTCCCAGTCCCAGTCCCGTCCTGTCCCAGTCCCGTCCTGTCCCAGTCCCGTCCTGTCCCAGTCCCGTCCTGTCCCAGTCCCGTCCTGTCCCAGTCCCGTCCTGTCCCAGTCCCGTCCTGTCCCAGTCCCGTCCTGTCCCAGTCCCGTCCTGTCCCAGTCCCGTCCTGTCCCAGCCCCGTCCCGTCTCCGTCCCGTCTCCGTCCCGTCTCCGTCCCGTCTCCGTCCCGTCTCCGTCCCGTCTCCGTCCCGTCTCCGTCCCGTCTCCGTCCGTCCAATCTGTCCCGCCCAGTCCCGTCTCCGTCCGTCCCATCTGTCCCACCCAGTCCCGCTGCGGGAGGTGCTGTCGATCCGTCACTGGCGACTGACGGCCGGCGCCGCGCATCCGTCAGCGCGCCCCGCCACCGTGTCGCCAGAGTCACCGAGCCGGAGAGTGGCGCCGCCCCGTCCGACCAGACCCGGTCGACCCTCCCCTCGGTCTGCCAGAGACCTGGGCCGCCCCATCCCGGTCTGCCAGAGACCTGGGCTGCCCCTCTTCCGGTCTGTCAGAGATCCGGGCCATAGGGTAAGCCGGCCCTACCCTGGGTCTGTCTAAAACCGGGACGCCCCTCCTCCGGCATGACAACACATAAAAGACCTGTGCCGCCCTCCTCTGGTCTGCGAAAGACCCGAGCCGCCACAAACCCAGTCATCCCAGAACCGGCCGGCTTCTAGGGTCACCTGGGTCAGCCCCAGACCCGACCCGACCCAGACCTATCCCGATCCACCCCGGTCTGTTCCGATCCAACCCTGTTTAGGCTCACAGCTTCTCAGGTCCCCAAATATCATCAATTAATTAATTTTCCCAGGATAAATACAAATTACGGCCATCCTAGTATATGTGTAAACTACAAGTGACACTTCTATCAACACTCACAAACCATGAGAAGACTAGAGCCGAGTATCACATTCGGCAGGGGTCAAAACATACCAGCCAACTTTACAGTGCACATGTTCGGCTCAATCATAAGCCCCAGTTATGCCACCTCTTTTTTGCCCACTTTTTTGTGGTGCGTTTGCATTTGATATCTGCTTTACTCCAGTATTTTATCGGTGGCTGTAATTTCATGGGAACCAGCCTCACTAATTAACAAATTATGAAAACACGCTGTGTCGACTTCTGTAATTGGCAAAACATGGTAGCATGGGCAAAAACGTCGGTGTCGGTTGGCCGGCTGTCCCAGTGGCGGCGAGAAGCGCCACCCCTGGCGTACCCAGGAGCCATCGTTCCACTCCAGCGTGCGTATCAGTTTCTGAGGTCTGAGCAGTGCCAGGATGGGTCCGGCCGAACAGCGAAAACAGCGTGATTTTCACGAAAATAAAAACAGGGAAAGGCAGAGGCTTGTGCTGAGTGGTTGCGTGCATTTCACTAATCACTGCGCAACTAAACAATATCTGTAGATAAACAGAAACTAGACCGCTTAGGACGGAGGACTGTCGGACGACCATCACACGAACACCTCCAGCTCCTCCCCAGCGCCTCCCAGCAGATAGAGCCGGCGGCAGCGCCGAGCCAGCGCCTCCCAGCTCCTCTCCAGCGCCTGCCAGCTATTCCCAGCGCTGCTCCGGCAGACAGGGTCGGCAGCAGCTCCTCCCCAGCGCCTCCCAGCTCCTCCCCAGCGCCTCCCGGCTCCTCCCCAGCGCCTCCCATCTCTTCCCCAGCGCTGCTCCGGCAGACAGAGTCGGCGGCAGCGCCGAGCCAGCGCCTGCCAGGCCGGCACAACATTTGTGTTCGTAAATCCGCTTAATTGCCAGTTAATCTGGGGTGTCAGCAGTCGAGTTAGCGGGGGAGAGGCGGCGCGGGCGGCGGCGCGGCGGCGGGAGCCTCATCCCACGGATGTTTTCAGAGTAGAGCAGTGGGCGGACGGAATGGTGTGTCAGGGAAAATGCAAGGAGGTTTGAGTGGGAACTAGTTCATACGAGTACGCTGATCTACGACGAGTTGAGCAATTCAGCGCGTTAGGTCGACTGCTGACATTCCAGATTAGCTGGCAAATAAACATAATGACGAACACAAATAGCTGCTCGTCAGCATAACAACTTATTTCCCTACACAACACTAACATCTAATTCTTTATGTGCAGCCTTTACGGTCACGGCCTGCCCACCCCGTTCCATCCCACCGTCCCCGGTCCTTTTCCGTACCCTCCCATCACCCTCCGCCTTCCATCCCGTCCCCGCCAGCTGCCATAGCCCCTCACACACAGACAGACTCGCGCGCCGAAAAAAGCGCCCGCTCGCCGGCCGGCCGTTTTGAAGTGCCGCTGGCTGGCTCGGGTAGATTGACAGCTGAGACGGGAGCTCAGCAACCATGAGCTGCTGTGGCAGGAGGCTTATCGACCCCACATGGCCTCAGAAAGACGGACTAAACCACACTCACCGGATGATTTTTCATACTAAATGCAGGGGGTTAAATCTCGGACGTATGTAAACGTACGAACAATTCCCTTTCTCTATTGATCTGTTTCACCCTCTTCAATTTATTCTTCTTTCCTTTTCTGTTCATCTTACAAGCTATCATCTTCTTTCTCCTCATTCCTCCTGCTTCTCTCCTCTCGTCGCTGCGGCTCGGCATCCCTGCCGCCCAGACGACGCCACCGCATCCGCAGCTGACGACATTTTTACTGGCTGTTTGATGGATGGGTGCGCTAAATACCGCTAATTTCCCGGGGTTTTCTATTACCGAAGGGTGGGCGCAGCGGTCCTGTTAGACACACCCTCCCCTATTACCGGGGGCAGCTCTGGTGTTCGGCCACCTCCCACGGCGCCCACTGCCTGCTGGCCAGGCGCGGCTCAGGGTGAGGGAGGGACGGATGCAGAGACGCCACAGGCCGCCCTGGCGGTGTCGGTCCCGGCGGCGGTCCTGGTGGCAGACCCGGGCCGGCGGACCGCCGGGGGAGGCGGCGGTGGCAGTAATTATCACCAGACCGTGGTGGCAGACGGTTCGTCAGCCCCCAACACGTGCTCGCCGCCTCCCTCCCCGGCGCAGCGCGGCGCTATTTATGACTGTGTTAGAGGGACGCTAAGTGGCCGGAGACAGCCGGGCTTGGACGGCGCCGTTCTGGATGCTTAGCTACTGATGGGGTTCAACACAAAACAGAGCTCTGCGGAAAACATGGGCTTGTTTCATGTCATAGTAAAGCATTTATTCGCAGGTTTACTGTTCTGTTCACCGCTCCTAATTGTCTATAGACAAATATATTTTCCACTTTCACTATAGTAAAAGTGGAAAAGCACCTCAAACGTAAAAGCAAAATCGCCAAACTGACCTGAAACCAGATCATGAACATCGAAATTGGATAAAAAATGCTTATTGCGTACTCGTATATCTTACCACCATGCGCTTTTGGTGAAACTAGAAAGATGCAAAACGGTTGAGCAGGCGTGCAATTTTTTTCATTTGAACTGACGATTTCTATTTGAATATACGCAATATTTATGTAGACAATAGTCATGAAGGACTCAGAAGATAACGATAAATTCACTTTCGCCGGTACCGCTGGCTGCTGGCTTACACATTTCAGAGTACCCTGCAACTTCTGAAATATCATTTGATGCCTGACCAGCAGACTGGGCAGCTCGGCGACTCGGCAGCGTTACTGGAGAGGCCAGATGCGCCGTCCGGTCCGTGTGTGAACCCATCTCAGCCGCGGCAGCGCACCTGTCTTCCCTCTCCTCCCCGCCCCTCTCCCACTGCAGTAGCGACTTGACAGGATGTTTGCGCGCGTGCAACACTGCAGACGCGTGTGCAACATTCCCGACTGAGCCGACACCAATCGTGGCGACCTCCCTGCCCCGGGCGGTCTATCATCTGCCAGCCAGTCTACTACGCGCGCCATGGTCAGTCTGGGGTCAGCTATGACCCCCATCCTGCCAGAACTGGCTTGGGGGAGGGGGCGCTGTCGGAGACTGGCCTGCTTTGAACTGTCAATAGTGGCAGCCGCCGGCGGCAGATCAAAGCAGAGGGTCGGGGCGCCGCCGCCGCCGACATCGACACGGCACCAGTGGGCCGAGCCCGAGACTAACTAGCGGCGCCACGGAGCGACGGCCGCCGACGGCAGCAGCGGCCGACGGCGGCGGCAGCGCCGCCAGAGGCCGATATAATTGAATCAGCGAGCAATCGGCCGCCCCACTGCCCTGGGATAGGTGGTGATTTTTGGTTTAGATAGTTATTCATCCTTGCACGAAAGAAAATCGAAATAAGTAAATCTCTGACCGAACCACGACGTCTCTAAGTC